CATACATCAAAGCCAGGGAGCGTTAATGACAGATCTAACAGAGGTAAGATGAAAGATAACAGAAGAATATTCTTTTGTACAACAGCTGTAACATTTTAATGTGAGATGAATGGCTGCTCTAGTAGATCTTCTGTCAAAAAAAAGGGATACAAACTCTCCATAAAAATGAATGACCACACCAAAAGCTGCACTTAACAATTTTAACATCTAAAAAGTTGGTCAATTTACAATTTCAGGCACAGAAATGATAAACGCCCTTTACTATTTGCAAAAGCTTGTAACTTACTTCTATGAAACAGTTCTCGTACAGGTAGTCATTAGCAATTGATTGGATAGAAACTGTTTATTCAAATAGAATACTACTCAAAACAAATTATTTACTGTCAACAGGTTTGATGAGAAATTAGACAAACTAATGGGGTCTTCATGCAGTAAGCATCCACAATCTTTGTATTCTGACTACACATATACAGGGATCTCTTCATCCTTTTTTTTTTCTTCTGGTAAAATATCTCAGAGGCATCAATACTACTTCGAAAGACAGTATTTAAGAAGTCCTTGTTGTAACATGAGTATGTTAGATCCATACTAGATCCAGGACTACCCTACTTCCAAAATACTGGATTAAAATGTTTGAAAAGTCTTAATTTCCAATAGCTTCCCCTTTAAAATGTAGTACCTTTAAAAAAAATAAAATCTGAGACTTAGTTACAATCACTGGAAATTATTTTTTATAACAGAAATAAATAATTTCCTCCTCTAAGGCATAAAATGCAATCTCAAGTAATACTGTATCACAGATGTACTTCCTGTAATCTGTTTTCTGTGAAAATCTATTCCAGTACCCAATTCTGAACACAACAAAGCTGTTCATAGCATTTAAAACCAAGCATATGCAGGAACCAGGTATTATTCTTTCTGTCAATAAACAATTCTCAGCCCTGAACATTTAGTAAAGATAACACACGACAGCACAAGAAAGAGAACTCATTGTGTGTTATGCTAGAACACTGCTTGGGAGGATTTTTAGAAGAAATTATTTCAGTTCAATGACAGCAGATGAGCAAATAGGAAACAGCAAACAGTAAATAAATGAAACACAAATATTTGGGGGGTTTGGTTTTGGGTTTTTTTTTTCCTAAATTTAAAAAAAAATCCTTAATAATAAACTCAAATAAGCTGAACAGATCCCTCACTGAGGATAAAGCAGAGGTACTCAGAGAAACCAGAAACTTTTCTGAATGTGTCTGTATGCAAACTATAAACAGCAGGCAGCATAACAAATTTACACTCTTGGTTAATTATCACTTTTCAATAGGCACTGGTTTAAACTTTCTTGCTTAAAGACAAGCAAACAACAGGAATCTTTATTACTAAGATCAGTCTGAGATGCCACAACTTCATGATAAATTTAAAAATATACTGGCAGTGTTATAAAACTAGAGCTCCCATATTTACAGCGAAAGACTACAAATAAGCTGAGTGAATGCTTTAAAAGAAAAGAGATGGGACCTTTACTCATATAAAACGTAAACACATAGTTACCGTATCTATGTACTTCAGCTTCCATCTTCTCTGTAACCAGAAGATTAAGCAGCGTGATTCTAGTCTGAAAAGTTGCATTATGAAAATGTCATGTTTTTCTTCTACTTTGACGACACCAAGCAGATGTAATATAAGCCACTGATGACCAGTGGGTGATATTTACAGCTGATTTTCAAGATCAAACAGTATTTAAAAATCTAGTAACTATTCAACAGCTTATGGCATAGAGTTAATCAGTTTGCCAACTTTAAACAAAAAACTAGAACAAACCATGAAGAATAACATGATAAATTACTTCGGGTTTTAAATCACTGATGCTCAGTTTTCTTTTCACAGAAGAATAAAGGAAGAATAACACATTCAGAAAAGTTAGTTTCTTTAAGGGAAAAAATGTGATAGGGTTTGGGGTTTTTAGCTCCCTATCAGGATTTGTAAATGCTGCCACCTAACTTTCTTACAGCTAGAAAAAAACAGAAGCAACAAGACCATTTCCGGTAAGAGAATCGAAAAGCTTGTTTACAAAGTTCTTTAAAAACAAAACACTCTTAATTACACTTTGCAGCAACACATTGTAAAATGCTTTTTTTTTCTTCTTCTGTTAAACAACATCAAAAACAAGCCAGAACACTTTGTTCTAATAGTACAAGGTGTTATACATAAATACATAAAACCACGCAATCCCTCCCTCAGAGAGCTTAATGACATTTGAACTATGGACTAGACTACGTCATTCACCGTTAATTTTTTATATGTATCCTGCTTCACATTATTTTAAATTCACATGACACCATTGACACTAAACCTCTTTCTACACATACATCTACGATATGTTTCAGCCTTCCCATGAAAAATACAATCACTGGCAAGAAGAACATGTTGCTACTTCTAGTGGCATACTGCAACACCACAATACAGAACAAAACCCATCAGACTGCCAAGGAGTTTAGGGAGGGAAAATACTTAGTTATTCAAACAGCGCAGATGTATTTTCACCAGCAGTGAAAATGAACTTCAGTAAGGACTCATAGAATCCAGTTTTAAAGTGTAACCACTAACCCACTACCGAGTGACAACTAACACCGATGCTCTGCTACAGTGCTGGTTCAGTACAAATTGAGACTGAAACAACCAATCTTTTTTCAGTCTTCTTAACCCAGGGACTATTGAAGTTTGACCCAAGAGATAGTCAGTCTTCATTACCAGAACATCTGAATGAGTAATTGATAAGCTTCTCTACATTTTATGTTTCAATCCAGCTACAAGTCACCTGATATGCAGCAAAAAATATTTAGCAGAAAATATGGCTTGTGTTACAAAAATAGATTACTTCATTCTGACTTTAAACTGTATGGGTGAGTAGATACAAATCCACAGTAAAAACAGACAAGTCCCTGTAGAGTGAGTAGCACTGGGACAAGACACAAGAATACTACTAAGCCTGGCAGAAGCATGGCTTCCAGAACTAGTAATCAGCAATATGATGCAGATGGGATGAGAGAAAGTAGAGTCATCCACTAGAAAACCTCATCTCATCCTCACCAAAGTGTTTCCTCAGCATTCACTTCTCTCGCAATGTGTAAGAGAAATAACTGAAGGGCATTTCTTTACAAGCATTCAGGTCGCTATAGCAAAGCACTGCTGAGGAATTGTGTGATCGCGCTGTCTATACTCCTACTGATCTTCCCCAGTCCCTCTTCTGTTGGCGCTTTGTGATAGTCCTCATCATCTACCCAAAATTGCCTGGTCTGAGGAGCCAAGAGCCTTGTTTTCTTTTGCTAGTTTTGACATATTTGATGCACTATAAAGCAAAATATCAAAACAACAGTACAGTAGATTTTTCTGTTGTTTTGCAATGCTAACGCTTCTCTGGTAATATAAAACATAGACTTCAAACAGATAGTTATCTGCAAATTCCATCACAGATAACAAAAATTCCCCTAAGCTCTAGCTGAACTTTGCAGACAAAAGCATAATGAGCACACTGGGTCACACATAGGAGCAGCTGCTGGGGCTTTTCCTAGAATACTAAATACTAAAAGACGTACAAAACATGTAAAGCAAAAATGCTTGTCTATTCTATGAATCCCTGTTTTTCATATACAATTTATTTAGTGGGTCTTTTAACGGCCAAGCTTGAAATATATTATGCTTAAGAAATTGGTATAACTGCAGACTACAGTTGATACTAACAGTTCAGCTACCAAGTCAGTTAAATAAAATACAAAACACAGTTAAACAAAAGCCAGTCTGATACGATCCACATTAATGAACAGTTAATCAATACACTCCTCCTTCTGTACATCCCAATAGGCAGGAAAAACCCCAGTATTCTCTCATTCTTCCATTTTTCTAAACATCCTTTCATATATGGGCTGTATGTATCAGCCATTTTTCTAATGAACTTCA